TAACCAGTCCCCCCGCCCCCGGATGTGGACACCCTCAGATAGGAGTAACCGGGGTCCCCACTCTCGGACGTGGATGCCCTCAGATAGGAGTAACCCCCAGATGTGGATGCCCTGAGATAGAGTAACCGGGTCTTCCTGGACGTGGATGCCATCAGACAGTTTTGTCGGTCTCCTCTCCCTCGCCTCATCCTCCAGGTGGACTCCATGTTGCTCAGAATAAAATTGCAACTTTGAACTTGGTGGTTTATGTCCTGTTGACCTGAGCAGCCAAGTCCCGAGGGCCACGCTTGTCTTGGGACCCCCTCCACAGGCGGGGTGCGGAGCAGCGCGAGTCTTTTTTCCCATCGGGTTTGGGTCTCTAGGTTCTTCCGCGCGTTGTTTGTGGCATCTCTCCTCTTTTCAGTGGAAGCAAGTACCTGTGAAGTCCACAGACATGGGGGGGGACACGTGGACACAGCATACCTTGGGAGGGGTTCACGAGGGAGGATGAACAGAGGCTGCTTGGGCGATCACTCAGAACAGGATGGAACACACGTCTCTGTCAGGACAGAAGGACGGAGAAAGGTCTCTCTTTCGGGACAGAGAGACAAAATGCGGGACAGGAGACAGTTCTCAGTCTCAGGGTGGAAGGACAGAAGACAGGTCTCTTTAGGGACAGAGAGACAATATGGATCTTGGGACAGAGAAAGAAGACAGTTCTCTGTCTTAGGGCAGAAGGATGGAGATAGGTCTCTCAGGACAGAGGGTCGGAATACCGATTTCTCCCTCAAGAGGAAGGACAGAAGGCAGGTCTCTCACCTCAGGATGGACGGTGAAGGACATGGTTGATGTGTCGTCCGTCCTGCCGGCATCTCTAATGAGATGCAGAGACCAGGCCTCAGGATGGGGACAGAGAAGGGTCTTGTGAGTTCTGGGACCGTGGGCAGTCTTCAGTGAGAGAGGGCAGTCTGAGCGTGACCAGGGCAGACACAGGCCAGAGGGTCCAGCACAATAGAATGAGTTCTTTTTGTTTTGAAGAAATGAACTTCATGCTTGGTCCCTCTCGTCCGACTGTTAGCTCTGCCTTATCTTCAAGTGCATTGAGGGCTGCATGCTGAAAATGCTGCTGTCTCTTCCCAGGAAAGACCCCCACGGGTTTTTTGCCTTCCCGGTCACTGATGCTATTGCCCCTGGCTACTCGATGATCATCAAGCACCCGATGGACTTCGGCACGATGAAGGACAAAATTGTAGCGCACGAGTACAAGTCTGTCACAGAGTTTAAGGTACATTGAGGTCTGTCCTGAGCTGCTTGTAGTCGATGTGCTCCTGCGCCTCATTCACTCTCTCCCTGCTGGGCTGCGCCTGGTGGGGAAAGGGCATTTCTGGGAGGGGGCAGGGTGAGGAGACTCTGCTGTGGGGGCGGGGGGAGGAGAGAAGGGGAGACTCTGCTTTGGGGGGTAGGGTGGGGGAGCTAAGGACACTCTGCTGCACCCGTTCCTGGGGGGAAGCTGAG